TGGAGGAGAAGGGATTGCAGCATGGCCATCCCTCCCAGGGGGTGATTCCTCGTTTTCTATCTCTCTGTCTCTCTGTCTTTCTGGCAAGTGCATGCGCCCTATAGCAAAAACCTCTCATCAAAAGAAAAGAAAAGAAAAGAAGATGAGACAATGAGTTACAGGAGAATAGAAAGTCCTTCCACGATATCAAAGAAAAAAAGGACACTCTTTTTTTTTTGGAGAGGTTTTCGCTATAGGGCGCGTGAGCTCGTCAGACAGACAGAGAGAAACAGAGAGACAGAAAGCGAGAAATCACCCCCCAGGGGGGATGGTCACGCCGCAATCCCTTCTCCTCCATTCTCCTCTTGGGATCTTGGTACACACACGCGCCCAGTGTGAGTTTTAAGCCACCAGGTTCGGGATGCGAACTATGGTCTACTACGTGGGAGTCCAGTGACATAGCCATTACGCTAACTGCTGGTCCCAAGAAATGGACACTCTAATAAAGAATCAGATGGAATGATTAGAGATGAAGTCTATATAATACAGGAAATCAAAAGCTCTCTCAAAGGTATTAAGAGTAGATTAGACCATGCCAAAGATCGAATCTCCAATGTACAAGATAAAACCTCTGACCAAGAAAAAAAAAACACCAAAAAGATAGAGAAAATAACAAAGAGATATGAGGATAATATACAAGAAATACTAGACTCCATTAAATGTCCAAACATCCAAATAATTAGTATCCCAGAAGGTGAAGAAACTAATAAGGCCATGGAAAATCTATTCCTTGAAATCCTGGAAGAAAATTTCCCAAGGCTAGAGAGGCACTCAAGCATCCAGACCCAAGAAATACAAAGGACCCCAAGCAGAATCAATCCAAGAAGATCTTGCCCAAGGCACATCTTAGCCAGACTGGCTAAGACCACAGATAAAGACAAAATACTAAAATTGGCAAGACAGAAATGACAAGTGACTTACAAAGCACCCCATCAGGCTAACTCTGGACCTCTCAACAGAAACAATGTAAACAAGGAAAGAATGGGAAGATGTATTGAAAGTGTTAAGAGAGAAATAATTTCAACCAAGATTATTATATCCTACAAGATTATCCTTCATATGGGAAAAAATTATTTAAATCTCAAACAAAACCTGAGAGAATTTTCCAGCACCAGACCAGCTCTTCAAGAAACCCTGAAGAGAGGACTGTTGCAGGAAAACTAAAGAATGAACAGCCAGGGACCAGCAGTTAGTATAATGGCTATGTCGCTGGACTCCCATGCAGTCAACTGCGGTTCACGTCCCAGATCCAGTGGCTTAAAACTCATGCCAGACGTGTGTGCATGTGTGCGTGTGTGCCAAGATCCCAAGAGGAGAATGGAAGGAGAAGGGATTGCCGTGTGGCCATCCCCCCTTGGGGGGTGATTTCTTGTTTTCAGTCTCTCTGTCTCTCTCTGTTTCTCTGGCGAGTGCACACACCCTATAGAAAAACCTCCCCCGTACCCCAAAAAAAGAATGAACAGCCAGAAATAAAGGAATAAAAGGCAACCAAGGCAATGGCTACCGTAAACGTCAGGACAAGTCTGGAAATATTAATAATAACATTTAATATTAATGGATTAAATTTTCCAATCAAGAGACACAGACTGGCTAAAGGGATTGAAAAAAAAAAAAACCAGAAATCCTCTATTTGTTGCCTATAAGAAACATATCTCATGGATAAAGACTAAAAGTGAAGGGCTGGAAAAAGGTATTCCATGCAAATGGGAACCAAAAAAAGCTGAAGTGCTGATACTAATTTCTTACAAGATAGTCTTTAAAACAAAAACTGTTCAAAAAGACAAAGAAGGGCACTATATTGTAGTAAAAGAGTTAATCCATCAAGAAGATATAATGCTAATATATATCTATGCACCTAACACAGGAGCACCCAAATATGTGAAGGAAAGACTGTTAGATCTAAAATGAGAAATAGATTGCAACACACTAATTGTTGGAGACCTCAACACCCTACTATCTCCTCTGGACAGATCATCTAGACAAAAAATGAGTAAAGAGGTAAAAGATCTTAATGATAACATAAATCAAATGAACTTAATAGACATTTATAGGACTTTCTACCCAAAACCCACGAGATATACTTTTTTCTCGCCCATGCATAGAACCTTTTTGAAGACTGACCACATGATAGGGCAAAAAGAAAGCCTCTATAGATTCAAAGGCATAGAAACTATATCCAGCATCTTCTCTGACCATAATGGAATCAAACTTGATTTTAATTCCAACAGGAACTTTCAAAAATACACAAATACATGGAAACTAAAGAGCCTACTCCTGAATGACTTCACAGCTACTGAAGAAATAAAGACTAAAATTAAAAGATTCATGGAAGTCAATAACAATGAGGAAACGAGTTTCCATAATCTTTGGGACACTGCAAAAGCAGTCAAAAGAGGGAAGTTCATAGCAATTAGTGCACATAAAAAGATGGAAAGAAAGCAAATGGGTCACCTAACATCATGCCTCAGAGAAGTGAAAAAGCAACAGCAAAAAAACCCAAAAAACTCCAGGAGAAAGGAAATAATATAGATCTGAGCAGAAATAAAAGAAATAGAAAATAAACTATACAGAAAATAAATGAAAGTAAAAGCTGGTCCTTAGAAAAGATAAACAAAATCAATACACTACTAGCGAGACTTACTAAGAAGAGAGAAAGGAACCAGGTAAATCAAATTTGCAATGAAGCTGACAATATAACAGCAGACATAATAGAAATACAAAATACCAATAGTGGATACTATGAACAAATATATGCTAACAAACAAGAAAATCTGATGAGATAGACAAATTCCTAGACACATAATCTACCAAGATTGAGTTAGGAAGATGTAGAAAGTCTGAGTAGGCCCATAATTAGCCAAGAGATTGAATCAGTAATAAATAACCCCCAACAAAGAAAAGCCCTGGTCCTGATGGCTTCACCTCTGAATTTTACAAAACTTTTAAAGAAGAGTTAACACTCATTATGCTAAAGTTATTTCTAAAGATTTAAAAGGGTGAAATTCTCCCAAATTCATTCTATGAAGCCTCCATCACCCCCACCCACAAAACAGATAAGGACAGGACAAGGAAGGAAAACTAGAGACCAATATCTCTGATGAATGTAGACGCAAAGATTCTCAACAAGATACTAGCAAATCATATACAACAACATATAAAAAAGATTATACATCACGATCAGGTAGGCTTTATTCCAGGAATGCAAGGTTGATTCAACATATGTAAAACCATAAACATAATGTACCATATTAATAGAAAAAAAGATAAAAAACATATGATCATATCAATTGATGGACAAAAAAGCATTTGATAGGATACAACATCCCTTCATGATCAAGACTGTCAGTAAAATTGGCATAGAAGGGTCATTTCTCAACACAATAAAAGCTATTCCACTAAAAACGGGTACAAGACAAGGATGCCCACTATCTCCACTTTTTTTCAATATAGTACTGGAAGTCCTTGCCAATGCAATTAGAAATGAGAATAAAATAAAAGGCATTGAAATAGGAAAAGAAGAGGTAAAACTCTCTCTATTTGCAGATGACATGATTGTATACATAAAAGACCCAATGGTACCCATGAAAAAATTCCTGGAAGTAATATGAATACCGTAAAGTTGCAGGATACAAAATCAACACAGAAATCTATAGCACTTCTATATACAAACAGCAGGCAGACTGAGCTAGAACTGAAAAAAGTAATTCCATTTACCATAGCCACAAAAAGTATAAGATACCTAGGAATAAATCTAAACAAAGAAGTTAAAGACCTCCACAAGGAAAACTACAAGCTAAAAAAAGAAATTGATAATGACACAGAAAAAGTGGAAGGACATCCCATGTTCCTGAATGGGAAGAATTAATGTAATTAAAATTGCAATTCTACCCAAATTAATCTACATATTTAACACAATCCCAATCAAAGTGCCAAAGACATTCTTCAGAGATCTAGAAAAGACAATCATACAATTTGTCTAGAATCATAAAAGACCTTGTATTGCCAAAGCAATCCTGCACAAGAGAAGTGGAGTGGAGTTGACACAGAAACAGAAAGGTGGACCAATGGAACAGAAAAGAGTCCCCAGAAATAAACTCTCAGGCATACAGACAACTGATTTTTTGACAAAGTTTACCAGTCAATCCAGTGGGGAGAGAAAAATCTCTTTAGCAAATGGTGCTGGAAAAACTGGATATCCACCTGCAGAAAAATGAATCTGAACGTCTACCTCTCACTTTTGACAAAAATCAACTTAAAGTGGATCAAAGATCTAAACCTAAGACCTCAAACTATAAAACTGCTGCTGGAAAACACTGGGGAAACACTGGGGAGACATTGGGGTAGGCAAAGATTTCTTAAATAAGACTCCCAAAGCACTGGCAATAATCCCAAAAATAGACAATGGGATTAAATCAGATTAAGAAGTTTCTGCATGGCAGACATCAGATTAACAAGTTTGTACATGGCAAAAGACACAGTAATTAGTGTGAATTGACAGCCCTCAGAATGGGAATTTTTGTAAATAGTGCATCAGATAACCAGTATACACAGGAACTCGAGCAGCTGTTCTGAAAAAAAGATGATTAACCCTATTAAAAGATGGGAGAATGAGCTGGAAAAACCACTTTCTAATGAAGACATATGAATAGCCAAAAAGCTTATGAAAAAATGCTCATCATCCCTCATTGTAAAGGAGATGTAGATCAAAGCCACAATGAGTTATCACCTAACCCCAGTCAGAATGACTAAGATGAAAAAAACATTAAAGGATAAGTGCTGGTGGGAGTGTGGTGAAAGGAAAACTCTCCTACACTGCTGGTAGGAATGTAAATTGGTGCAGTCACTCTGGAGAACAATTTGGAGATTCCTCAAAGACCTACAAATAGAACTACCCATTTCTTGATATCTACCCAAAGGACAGAAGAATTCTTAACCAGAAAAGTGCTTGCACATCGGAGGTCTGTGGAATGTCAACTATTCAACATGGAGGCGGAGGTCGATAAGCTGGAACTGATGTTCCAGAAAGCTGACTCTGATCTGGATTACATTCAGTACAGACTGGAATATGAAATCAAGACCAATCACCCTGATTCAGCAGGCGAGAAAAATCCAGTTACACTCTTAAAGGAATTGTCAGCGATAAAATCTCAGTATCAAACTTTGTGTGCACGCTTTAAACCAGTTGCTGTTGAACAGAAAGAGACTAAGAGCCGCATCTGTGCTACTTTGAATAAGACTATGACTATGATACAAGAGCTACGAAAACAAACAAACGTGGAGCTGGCACCACTGACGAAGAAGAGAAAACTGCAGCAGAGCAATTTAAAATCTCACATGCCAGAATTATGAAGAAATAGAATTGCAGAGTGGAACTCCAATGGAGAAGAGAACAATTTGAAATTTAGGAAGATGTCTTTTTAACACTTGATGAGTAGAGGCGGGGGGCTGTGAAGGAGGAGGTTTGCTTGAGACTAGAAAATAACGCCTTTTATAAAAGAGGAGACTATACGAAGGGCAGAAGCCAGGATCAGGTGTGCATGCCTGTAGTCCAAGACTGGGGAAGTTGAGGCAAAGGACTGTTAGTTTGAGGCCAGCCTCAACAACATAGCAAGACCATGTCTCAAAGAAAGAAGGGCATATATGCTATTATATATGAATATTATATGTGAATAAATATTATATATGAATATTATATATGGAAAAAAAAAAAGAATTGAGAGAGTGATACCTTAACCCAACTATGTTGTTGAAAGGTAAGGCACTTGGGAAAAGATTGGGATTATGGTCACTAGGGTCAGGTACCCATGACCCATGACTGACTCTAGGTGAGTTTATAAGGAGAAGGAATGAGACCAGAACAGAGCCACACATGCAGGTGCTCCTATGCTCCACCAACCTGTGTCCTAGACCTTGCACCACCAAACTATGAGCTAAATAAGCCTCTGTTCTTATACATCACCCAGTTTCAGGAATTTTCTGTTATTAGCAAGAGAACAGATTGAAACACCCACCTATGCAGTAATGTAACAAACGCCCCAGCATGTCCTGGCATTCAGCAGGTCGAGAGAGGAAAAGTCGCAGCAGTGCAGTGAGCAGCTCCATCTTAACAGCTGGAAATGTCTCTGATTTCACGTTCTCTACAAAGTCCTCTAACACATAAGGAGCATTGGGAATTCTTTCCCCATGGACCCCGAGTAGCCAAATAAGTGCCTGTTTCCCCTAGGGAAGGAAGGAATAAGAACAGGTACTTAATGCTTGGCTGTCTAACCCACAGGAGATAGAAAATTGCTGATTTTGCTTTCCTCTAGTACCAGAACAAAGAATATAATCTTTGATTTACTTCACCTTGCATTGTATCAATCCTACCCACTATTTCTACAACCAAATAAGATGTCATGTTGTAAAATTCTCTTTTGAAATTCTCTCCTCTAGCTATTTTGAAATATGCATTCAATTGTCACCAACTATAGTTTCTATACTGCTCTATGGTACTGTAGAAATTATTCTACCTAGCCATTTGCTCTCTTGCATCTGTTGGGAGTTTTATTCCTAAATGTAAAAACTCCTATGTCCTTTCTCACAAATTCACCATGAATGTTCAAAAAAGGTATAAAAACATGTATACGTCAGTAAAGAAAATAAACTTATCATTTGTAAAGTGAAATCATTACAACTGGAGCTACAGCTATTATAGCTTGGTTCATACAGATGTGAGGAATTTTATTAAGAAAATAAGAAAAGACTTTTTCTCTCAGATAGCTCTGATCAATATGTAGACTTCAAATTTTCCGAGGAAACTTTCATTAAACCATTACCACACTCCTGATCTTTGTTCCTTGCCTCCACCACTTTCAAAGAACATAAAGTTAATGAGGAAGCAAGCTCTGAGCATCACAGCTTTCATTTTAACATCCACTGGATCCTAAAGTTATTGGCATCTGTAAATGCCTCTCTCACAATCCCAGTCCAGTGCCTGGAAATCCTGCCAACCATTGTTTCTTCATCAAGTGATTTAATCTCAAAATCAACATCTGAACAACAGCTGTACACAACACATGAACCAGCAATTTTTAGCATATCCTCTCTTTTCTCCTTTTGAATTGTACATTTTGGCAGACATGGATGCCAGGTCTGAGAAACATAACCTATTGGTACACCACGAGGAGCTTGGATTTCTATCTCCTGAAGGTAGCAGGGGAAACAACAGCTGCTACATCTTAGTGGTCTTTCCATAGTTATGACTTCTTGACCCAAATTGTCAAGAATTCTCAAGGTAAAAGGTCTAGATGCTCCACAGCAACTTCTGGTACAGAAAGCAGTATCTTCTACTGCAAAGTAAACTTTCTGTCCAAGGCTGCTCTTAATTTCGTATTTGTTATTAGTTTCAAAACCTGTTAAGACTTCCAGAAGTTCAATTTGCTGATGAATCAGTATCTGATCTATCAGACTTAGATATTCCAATCCAGGTGGATAATTCAGTGGAGGTGGTGGTGCTGGCATCAGTGGTACCCCTGTAGGAATAACTAGCCGCTGGTACATTGGCTGATTCTGGACAGGAAAACCAACTGGGCCAGCACCTGAATAGCCAACTGGTGGGACTGGGTAGCCAGCCTGAGGTCCAGGGTAGCCAGCCTGGGGTCTAGGATAGCCAGCCTGAGGTCCAGGGTAGCCAGTTTTGGGTCCAGGATAGCTAGGATGTTCTGGGGGTCTTTGATTGTCCATGATTTATGCTCTGTAGATGCAGCTGTGCCTGCCAAGCTGGGAGGTTGGGGCGGCTCTCCTCTGTGATGGGATGCCTACTGCAGCATTATTCGCAATTGCTAAGATATGGAACCAACCCAAATGCCCACAGATGAATGGATTGAAAAACTGTGGCACATATGTTCTATGGAATACTACTCAGCCAGAAAAAACAACAAGACTCTGGCTTTTGATGGAAAGTGGAAGAATATGAAAGATTTACTGCTGAGTGAAGGAAGCCAAGCAATGAAAGAGAGACACTGCATGTCTCTACTTAATATATACCAAGTGTCTGCACTCTATGGCCAAAACTGAATGTCTAAAGGTTATAGAAACTAAGTAAATGGTCATGAATACTAGTTACGGTGTGGACAGAGGGTGAGTGAAGGAGTAGAGTCTGAGGAAGGACATTATGGAGGAAAAAGGTGAGGTAAGGCATTTATGAGACAAAGAAATGTATTATTATCTATTGAAGATAACTTTCTAGTATGGTGAACTGGACTAGTAGGAAATGTACACATGTTGGAATATTCACTTTGTAAGCTAAGCAATGTGATTGAATGTATAAAAGAAATAGAAATAAAAATAAATTTAAAATAAGTTAACAAAAATAAATATGAGACTGTCTCAAAAAAAAGTTGAGACAATGAATCTCTATATTTCTATGACCTAAATTCAGCAGCACACATTTATTTAGCTATTTGCCTTATCCGTCCCTCTATCATTTATCCACCTTACAGACATCAGTATACTTTACTCCTAAACTCAGCAGCAGTTTCTGTTAGACTTTAACTGATTTACTTATGTATTATCTGTCTGTCCCTCACTGTACCTGTGTGAGTCAATAATAACTATTTGTTCAGTTGATAGCTGCTGGTATTTATTCATCTCCCTTAGTGATTCTGAGGCAACTCAAACTATGGGACTCACTGTTTAAATACAGTGCCCTCGAGACCAGCAGGCATAATGGTTATGTTACTGGACTCCCACATAGTCTGCGGAGGTTTGGAGTCCTGGACCAGATGGCCTGAAATTCATGCCAAGCATGTTTGCGTGTAGAGGAAAACCAAGGAGAGGGGATTGCAGTGTGGCTATCCCCCTCGGGGCTGATTTCTTGCTTTCTGTCTTTCTTTCTCTTTCTGGTGAGTGCTTGTGCCCTATAGCAAAAATCTCTCATACATACCTAAAATGCCCTCACCCTGCACTTAGAATAAAATCCAAAATTTCTTTTTTTTATTTTAGGAATAATTTATTTTGTTTGATTTATTATTATTTATTTTAATTTGCTATAGGACACATGTGCTCACAGGAAGGAGTGGGGAATCAAGCCACCAGGTCCAGAACTCAAACTGCAGTCAACCACAGTGCTACCTGCTGGCCCCAAAAGCCAAAATGTCTTACTTGGCCTTAAAGGAGTACATTATCTGGAGCCTGCCTCCCTATTCACCTTGTTTGTGAAGAATGCTCACCTTCACTTACCATGCACCCACTATACTGAACTCCACTTAACTCATCTGTCAGACCAGTCACTTTCTCATCTTAGACTCTTCCAAACAATGTTACTAATGTTTGGTTCCAGGTTCTCTGTATGGCCAGATTATCTCATTCTAAATATCGTCATTTTTCTGTCAAATATACTGTTCTTTGCCTTTGATCTTTCTTCCCAAGTCTAGAATTACATTCTTATTTATTAATTGGTATATCTACTAATGTAATTTCTCCCAAAGTAGCCTAGAATTATCATAATACGTACCTCACTCACCATAATATAACTAGCTCCCAGAACACAGTTCAATCAGTATTAAATAAAGTAGTCAATAAATTAAGGACATTCAGGTGAAAATAAAAGGAAAAGTGCAACAGATAATTAAATGGAGAATTTGAGAATCAGATGCCTTTTTAAAAAATAATTATTTAATTTTATTTATTACCATTATTCTTCAATTTGACCAGAGAGAGAGAGAGAGAGCGCACGCAAGCCTCCAGGTCCAGGACTCAAACTGTGGTCGACTATGTGGAAGTCCAGCGCCCCGACTACCATTACATCTGACAGCACCAACTTTTTTTTTAAAAGACTTATTTCATTTATTTATTCATTTATTTAAATTTGACTAGAGAGGGAGTGAGAGAGAGAAAAAGAGAAGGAGAGAAAGAGAAAGTGAGAAAGCAAGCTGCCAGGTCCCGGACTCAAACCACAGTCAGCAATGTGGAAGTCTAGCACCCTTAACCATCAAGTCACCTGATGTCCCCTAGCCCTGTTTTTTTTTCTTTTTTTTTTTTTTTTTTTTTATGGTTTTTCCATACAGTGTGGATGCTTGCCAGAGATAGAGAGAGAGAAAGTGAAAAATCACCCTTCTAGGGGGGATGGTCACATTGCAATCCCTTCTCCTCTATTTCTTTTTGGGATTTTGGACATATACAAGTACCCAGTGTGATTCAAACCACAGAAGGACATGTAAGAATACAACACCTTCACCACCATGCCACCTGCTGGCCCCAACTAATTCTGAAGCCAGCATTATCCTGATACCAAAAACAAAGATATCACAAAAATTATATTCTTTATGAGTACAGATGCAAAAAACCTCAACAACAGCAATACAACCCAAATCCTGCAACACAGAAGAATTATAAAAATGCCAAACTGATTTAATATCCGAAAATTTATCAATGTGATATCTAAAATATTTTCATGACAAAAATAGTCAACAGGGCTAGCAGGTGGGGTAGAGGTTAAGGCAGTTGGACCCCACATTTCTGGCTTGTGGTTCAAGTCCCAGATCCAGGGACCTGAAAAATCACATTGGGTGTGTGTGTGTGTGTGTGTGCCCAAAATCCTGAGAAGAGAATGGAGAAGAAGGGATTGTGGCATGGCCATCCCCCCGAGGGGGTGATTTCTCAC